TGCTTACAATGCATGTTCGGCCGTGTTCATATTGAGCTAAACTCGGTGTGGTGTAAGTGTACTCAACACTTAATGTTTAGGTTAAGTTTACATAAAACTAGATATTAAAAACAAAGATTCTATTATGAATATTTAAAGTAGTTACATAAATTGAATAAAAATGATTATAATGATTTTATTATGAATTAAGTTGTTTACCTATTTTTATGACAAAAACTAAAAAAAAAATTGTTTAGTTAAAAACATGATTAAATTTGTCTTGGACCATTTGATTTTCAGTGGGAAGGGGATTTTTTGATAATGGAATATTCATTTTACACCTTTTGATAGTATGGCTCTTTAAGCGCGAAAATTATTTTCACCTTTTGTTCCTAACTATTTCTTGCAAAGTCCTGCATTTTGTAGGCCAAAATATTCATTTTCACCCTCAGGCTGTCTTGGACAAGGTTATTTTATACAGTTATTACCAGTCCAGGATATTTATCTCTTGAATAAGCCCACTAGTGACTGTGGAATAGAAATATCCCGATAGGCAGTAAAGCCCTTGCCATAGTGGGCGTCCGTTTGGTTGTGCGGGAAATACAAGTACTCAGCCACGTCTGGTCAGAATGGGAACATTAGATCCGATTCCTCGTGTAGAAAAAGCGTCACCTTCTCTGCACGTTAAGAACCCTTACAACAACTCTTTGAGGGCCCGTATGTACCCAATTGCAAGGCAAAATGTCTATCCATATTTAATTTACTCTCGTTTTCTAATTGCGGTCCAAATTCCCCTATCGTCATCCCGGACGTCCTCTATTACAGGACCTACATAGTGTATTTATTTTGAATTTGTTCTCGTCCTGAACGTGCAAGAAATATTCGCACTGGACGTTAAGCAACCAACAATAAATAAATCAATTATTTTCAAAATCTTTTTTTCGCCTATTGTTATGCTATTTTAGCCTACGTAATTGTGACATCTTTAGAACTCTCGAAGTACTCCAGATCAGTAAAACGATCTAATTTCTGAAGGCATCGACCATTCGTCGAACAAACCATTTTTTTTTTATTAATTTAATAAAAAACTAATTTTTTTTTTTCAATAACATACAGGAACATTTTCAAAACTCCATGTTGAATCCCCTCGACCTTCATTTTTAATGGAATCACTTCCCGCCTGAAATAAATATTGTCTTCTTAAAAAAAATTGGAATTTAAACATATATATGCATCTCAACAAATGTATACTAGAAGTGTATATCCATTTTACAAATGTACAGTTTATATTATGCATTTTAAAATTTGTACATCAAGATTGCTTGAACTAAGGTAGCATTGTAAATAAAACTCTCTATCAAGCGGATCAAAACGTATATGTGATAGTGAATATTCGAAAGATGAAATCTGTAAAACTATTAAAATGATTAAAAAGGGATAAACTACCAGGAGGGAGAGAAAACTTTTCACAGGACCCCTGGTGTTTGTACAAAGTATATTATATTAAGGTGTTTATCCGCACTACATAAGTTTTACAGTCTTCACCACCGATACGATATGTCTGTGCCTCAACTCATTAGTCCAAATTCCCCTATCGTCATCCCGGACGTCCTCTATTAAAGGACCTACATAGTGTATTTATTTTGAATTTGTTCTCGTCCTGAACGTGCATGAAATATTCGCACTGGACGTTAAGCAACCAACAATAAATAAATCAATTATTTTCAAAATCTTTTTTTCGCCTATTGTTACGATATTTTAGCCTACGTAATTGTGACATCTTTAGAACTCTCAAAGTACTCCAGATCAGTAAAACGATTTAATTTCTGAAGGCATCGACCATTCGTCGAACAAACCATTTTTTTTTTATTAATTTAATAAAAAACTAAAATTTTTTTTCAATAACATACAGGAACATTTTCAAAACTCCATGTTGAATCCCCTCGACCTTCATTTTTAATGGAATCACTTCCCGCCTGAAATAAATATTGTCTTCTTAAAAAAATTGGAATTTAAACATATATATGCATCTCAACAAATGTATACTAGAAGTGTATATCCATTTTACAAATGTACAGTTTATATTATGCATTTTAAAATTTGTACATCAAGATTGCTTGAACTGAGGTAGCATTGTAAATAAAACTCTCTATCAAGCGGATCAAAACGTATATGTGATAGTGAATATTCGAAAGATGAAATCTGTAAAACTGTTAAAATGATTAAAAAGGGTTAAACTACCAGGAGGAAGAGAAAACTTTTCACAGGACCCCTGGTGTTTGTACAAAGTATATTATATTAAGGTGTTTATCCGCACTACATAAGTTTTACAGTCTTCACCACCGATACGATATGTCTGTGCCTCAACTCATTAGTCCAAATTCCCCTATCGTCATCCCGGACGTCCTCTATTAAAGGAACTACATAGTGTATTTATTTTGAATTTGTTCTCGTCCTGAACGTGCATGAAATATTCGCACTGGACGTTAAGCAACCAACAATAAATAAATCAATTATTTTCAAAATCTTTTTTTCGCCTATTGTTACGATATTTTAGCCTACGTAATTGTGACATCTTTAGAACTCTCAAAGTACTCCAGATCAGTAAAACGATTTAATTTCTGAAGGCATCGACTATTCGTCGAACAAACCAATTTTTTTTTTATTAATTTAATAAAAAACTAAATTTTTTTTTCAATAACATACAGGAATATTTTCAAAACTCCATGTTGAATCCCCTCGACCTTCATTTTTAATGGAATCACTTCCCGCCTGAAATAAATATTGTCTTCTTAAAAAAAATTGAAATTTAGACAAATAAGGGTGAATGAAACAATGAGGGAATCGCATACACTCTCGAAGGAGCGAGATCGGATACGACCACAAGGTAAGTATCCTGCTTTACATGCGTTACCTGCCATTAAAATCCACACTTGGTCTTATATATATGCATCTCAACAAATGTATACTAGAAGTGCATATCCATTTTACAAATGTTCAGTTTATATTATGCATTTTAAAATTTGTACATCAAGATTGCTTGAACTAAGGTAGCATTGTAAATAAAACTCTCTATCAAGCGGATCAAAAACGTATATGTGATAGTGAATATTCGAAAGATGAAATCTGTAAAACTATTAAAATGATTAAAAAGGGATAAAATACCAGGAGGAAGAGAAAACTTTTCACAGGACCACTTGTGTTTGTACAAAGTATATTATATTAAGGTGTTTTTCCGCACTACATAAGTTTTACAGTCTTCACCACCGATACGATATGTCTGTGCCTCAACTCATTAGCCACATGTTTTCGCAGTCTTAGATCTTTAGATCACAGAATAGTCGTCTAACCTGTAATTTTACCGATTGTGTCATATTCCCGATTTTGAAGTTTTGACCAAGTGTGGATTTTAATGGCAGGTAACGCATGTAAAGCAGGATACTTACCTTGTGGTCGTATCCGATCTCGCTCCTTCGAGAGTGTATGCGATTCCCTCATTGTTTCATTCACCCTTATTTGTCTTCTTAATCGATTGATGAGATTTGAACATCGGTAAACTACTGCTGTCTTCATGAAGCAGTGTAAAGATTATGTTCTCTCACCAGATAATTCAAAATGTGGTGACTATTGAACGCATCTATCCCATCGAACTTGAGATAAATGATACAACAGATACAGTAAGTCTCACTGTCTTATATCCTGACTGACATCTAAAAATTGACAATGATTGTCGGTTGAAAACAAAAATAAACTTTACAACAAAAGAGATGATATCAGCTTCCCAATTGTGCACTTTCTATTTCTATGTAGTAATATTCCAGCAGCGCCTGCATACAGAATATATCTCTCAGATGATACGATATTCCAGGGTTGTATTTTCTATCAGAATCTGCTTACCCTTCCGGTTGTGTTTTGCGTACTGTTGTTTGTCTTTCGGTCGTTTTCTTTTTTAGCCATGGCGTTGTCAGTTTATTTTTCGACTAATGAGTTTGAATGTCTCTTTGGTATCTTTCGCTTCTCTTAATTGTCACCATAAAAAATGTGTCTGTGCCTCTGGTCACCATGAACATTTTTTCGCGAATTTTTGGATTGTAAATGTTAAAGCTTCAGTATCAAACAAATACATACATGTAGCAACTCTAACAACATCACATCTTAGATCTCAAGACACTAAAATTTTAGGTTTGTCTATTCAAAATGGATAGTGAGTTTTTAACACCTTTAATCTTGGAAGTATCCCTCATATTTATATCATTGCCGTATATTGTTACAAAAATTAAGCCATTCTTGAAATCGAAAAAGAATAGCAAAATGAAGTTAATGAATAGCTATCAGCATGAAAAATCATTAATCAAACTGTATTATTCTATTCCTGTATGGCGACTTTGAATTTTATATAGGCAGCCCCATTTTAATTTTGTTTCAATTTATACTTTAAATGTGGGCAGCAAACATAGTTTTCAAAACACAGAGGTTTAACATGTTGATGTCTTGGTTAAGCGCTTAGTCCAATAATCATTATCTTCAACAAATTAAACTGCTGAATATTTAAAATTTTACAATTTAAAAATTTGGGTCGCCAATTTGCTTCAGGACTTGTAAACAAAACTGTAAACACTATTAGTAAAGGATACTCCATTGTACAGATGAAAGCTTCTTTGAGGCATCACAAGGAATCACACGTACATAGCTTAAAAGGTTAAATGTAATTTTCTATTGGAACGACTAAAAATACAACTTTCAATTGAAAATTTAAATGAACTCCTTTACACATAAAAGTGACTAAAAAAACATTTCTGAAAATGAAGAAAGGATTTTATACAAGCTTAACATGAAAAAAAGATTTTTTAAAGACAATTTTCTTCCTTGTAATTTTGTTATTGCATTTACTTGCATGATATATGATTCAAATGAAGAGATGATTAGCGTTTGCTGCAATTTAATTATCTAACAATCCAAATATAAAACACACATACATATACACTGACAATTGTTATTAAAACATCTCAATTGATTTTTAGGATAAAATGGCGTATGTAATTAAAACCAAGAAATCAGAAGTAGAGCTTCCTTACCTTCCTAAAAATGGTATACTCAAGAACGGAATAGCGGTGACCCTTGACTGGTATAAGGAAGCAGACGAGAGAGAATTATTTGAAATTCTGAGATACATCGTTCATGAAGAAGGCGATAGTTACCCCCAAGATGAGATGTCTACTTTAGAGGATTTCCGGTCATACTACTTATCCCATGATGTTTTTGTATGTAAAATCATAACGACTGGAGAACTCATTGGAGGGTTTTATGTAAAGCCAAACTTTCCTGGACGATGCTCACATATCTGTAACGCTGGATTTATAGTTAAAGCATCATCAAGGGGTTATGGAGCTGGAACATTTATGGCAGAAGCATATTTACAAATAGCACGTGATTTAGGATACCTTGGGTCGTTTTTCAACCTTGTATTTGTTTCTAATGAATCATCGGTTAAGTTATGGCGAAAACTAGGATTTACTGAAATTGGACGAGTCCCGAAGGCTGGAAAATTAAAAGGAAGGGACATGACGGACGCTCTTCAATTTTATTATGACTTAACTACGTTACCGAAATTGATAATGGAATAATCGTGATGAATAACATAAATTACAAAAATTACCATATAAGTTAATTGACATATTGTAAAATAAATGAAGGAGTGTTTGAAAATACACCACAATATTCATGGGAAGGTGCATATATCAGAACAAATATTTGGAATTGCATCACAATATTCACTTGAAGGTGCATGTATCAGAAATGCATTATTATCGATTCCGAAATGCTAATCCATAAATTCTTGGTCTTTCTTATTTAAAACATTACAAAATATTTCAAAATAACCAATCACATTATATTGAACAATAATTAAAGTTCCTCACATGTACATACATGACAGTATACTGTTATAAAAGTTTGTCTTTTATATTGTCAATGAAATTTTGAATATATTTATATGTAATTGGGATTTTCGTGTAATTGCATAACTATATGAACAACCCGTAAAACGCAAATGTCACGTTTGGCCCTACCAAGTTTCTAAAGAGGATCAAGTTCCTGAGTTTCATCATCTCAGTATTAAATGTTTGTAATAAATAATGGAAAACAATAACACGTAAAAACTTTACATTAAACTGTGTATATATTTTAAAGACTTTGTTTTCTCGAAAAACCAATTGCTAAAATGTTTTACAGAATGCAGTTTAAATTCACCTATTCAAACCGATCAACCGGTAAAGCGTTTTATTTCATGACTTAAGTGCCCTTGCTTCATACTAACAATATTGCACTGAAGCAATGAGCTAAACTGCTTACCATTTTAAAATAACAAGGTGTAGAAGTGCAATCAAACTGCAATTGGATAAAACATTATATTAATGGATATTGTGAAAGGACAAATCCTGTTGAAAAAAAGAGGCGAAAGAAACCTAGGATACAATCCCAACTTGTAAGTCAAAGAGAAACTGACAACGCCATGGCAAAAAACGAAAGATAACAAAAACACAAACAAATCCATAAAACACTACATGGAAAACAAACAACTAAACAACACGAACTTAACTATACATTTGGTTGATTACAGGTATTCCGGAAGGGTAAATACATCCTGATCCACTGGCGTTACCCTTCATGAGTGTACAAAGTAATTATCTAAACAATATATGTAGACTATATGTTTATTGTTCATTTGAGAGAAAAAAGTATTTAAAAAAACTCCAAGGTCAATTAAAAAAAGGGGGAATTTATAAAACCTGACAAAATCAAACGCTTGACTAACCAACAAAACGAATGGACAACAACTCATATTTCTTACTTGGTACAACCATATTAATGTGTGTGCCTTTGGGATGTTGGCTCAATGCCACCAGCCAACACCTTCAAAAGGCTTTAATTTATTTCATTCAGTATTAAGGTGATTTGACTTTTATAAAATAACGTTTAAATTTTGTTTTATACATGTTGTATACGTAATCTATTAAAATCATACCCTTTAAAGAAACTGACATACAATTGCTCCTCAGTAGTATAATGATGTGGTATTCTAAAATTATCACTGATGACAATCTCATGAATGTACAAGGCATAATCAATATTCATTTTATGTGTACATATGCCACATGTGGAGCAGGATCTGCTACACTTCCGGCGGTACCTGATATCACTTTCGGTATTTTGTTGGTTTCGTGTTGCTCAGTCTTTAGTTTTCTATGCTGTGTTTTGTAAACTGTTCTTTTTCTTTTGACCTTTTATTTTTTTTTTTATACATGGTGTTGTCAGTTTATTTTCGACTTATGAGTTTGAATGTTCCTTGCATATCTTTTGACTCTCTCTTATGCACTCGAAATAAGAGTTATGATTATGGTTTACATAAATATAAAAAGGAGAATTGCTATCATCCGATATTAAATTCTCACGAATGTCTAATATATTTTTGTTATGGTTAACATCATATTTTTGTAAAAAAAAAAAAAAAAAAAAACAAGAACAGTGTGTGAAACATTGTTACTGTATTTTGTACAAAATAATGCAGGATAAAGATACATGGTCAGGATTTTGAAGAATGGATATTTCTATAACAAGAATGACTTCACTCGTTTCACAATACATAATGGAAAGATACAGTATTCGTGTGATGTTCGTTGCATTTGAAATCTTTGTATTTGCATTTGATACGCTTTTGGCAGTTTGGAACATTAAACATGCAATGACGTCTTTACACTAAATCCATTTGGTGTTGGATATGGACTGATTGATGTTTTATTATTAGATACATGATTTTTTTATTAGTTGTTGTTGGCTTTGAACTAGCTCTCATATCTGTACTTTGTTCCTTTTGTGTTGTGGTGTATGTATAAATACCCTGCCACGTCCGGTCTGTGTTTTTGATAGGTTTTTTTTCTTTGCTTTGATTCGATCTGATGATTTAAACCCTTTTCAACTGATTTTGTATAGTTTGTTCTTATGTTGTACTGTTACACAACTGTCTCAGGGTAGGAGATGTAGTTCAGTGGTTGTCGTTGGTTCATGTCTGTCATATTTGTTTTTTCGTAAATTTTTTTGTTATAAATTAGGCCGTTAGTTTTCTCACTTGAATTGTTTCATATTTTTCATATCGGGGTTATTTATAGCCGACTATACGGTATGGGTTTTTCTCATTGTTGAAGGCCGTTCGGTTGCCTATATTTGCTTATATCCGCTTCATTTAATCTTTGGTTGATCATGTTGACAGTTTTCTCATTTTCAATCATACCACATCTCCCTATTTTTATCAATTACTTTTGCTGTTTGGCAATTCAACTAACATACAAATAAATAGTTTTTATAAGATGTCTTTCCATGAAGAATGAATTAGTATTAATATATATGATATTTCAGATGTGTTAATACAGGTATTTTAATTTTTGTTAGTGTGATCAAAAATTAATAATAAGGATGGGAGTATGTTTTTAATCCCTTTCGTTAGTTACTCTATATAACTCTGCTTGTATTGCTTTCTTCTTCCTCAAATATGCAGTCAGAAGTTGGAGCAAAGAATATTTTAAGATGAATGACAAATTGTCAAAGTTGGTTCTTTGTAAGTTAGCATGACTTGATTCGCCGTTGCCGTTGCACTATATCTCTTACACAAATGATCACGGACATGTTCCCGTTTTTCATTAGATGTTCATGTTAAGTCATTGGTTTTTTTTTACTTGTCATAAGCAACACATTGGGTGGCATCATTTTCAATCACGTAAGATCTTTTAGGTGAAGGCTGTTTTTTTAGGTACGCAAAGGTCATTCTTCTGTGTAACGTTTTGTCAATCATAAAAGTTTGCCTTTAAGATTTTTTCTTCCTCTAACAATAATATTATATGTCCTTTTATTGATATTTGATTACTTTCATAGTATATCCTTTTTTTATTTTGAAATTGTGGTTCCAAATGTTTTAAATACCTACAAAATGTAAGAATGAAATTCAAAACTCTTTTATTATACAGTGTTGAACTGAAGCAGTATGTTTGTGTTATCAATCCTTCCTTGTGTTTCTTAACCACAAATAGTTGAGTTGTGACATGTCTGAGCTATAAAAGAAAACACATCAGATATGATTAAAAAGATATGAAACTTTCCAAAAAAATTGTTAAAAATATTTTTTTCATAAACACGTGCTACACCCCTGGTAATCATTTCATTCGTGTTTGTGCTACCATTGGATTAGGTTTATCAATCTTAGAAGAAGAACCATTTGCCAAGTAGTCAATGCTTCGGTCTTTTCATATTTTGAATGATAGTTTTGTATGTATATTTCAATTTAGAAATATTATTTAATTGTGCATAAGCTAAAATTAAACTTCCTGAAGAAAACTTGGACTTGGACGGTAATGGCTTTTCTATTAAGACCTTTTTGAATTTAACTTCTCAAACAATATATTTAATTCTTAGCTCTCATAAAGGCGTGTTTAAAAATAATAATACAATGAAAACGTAATTGTATACATTTGTTTTCTACAATTTACGTAATGAATATATGTAAGAATCAAATAAGACTTATTTCTTATATGCAAATAAGTCACAAATGTCAAAATGAATTCACAATATGCATTTCGAGAGTAACCGTAAATATCAAGTGCAGCATTGCACATTCGAGGATTGAATCAAATATCTTATTTATTATAGGATTGTTTTTTTTATCTTGCTTTAATCCTCATCAATGCTTTAAACAATTACATTTTGTGGGAATATTGAAACATTATGTTCTGTAATTTTATTTGTTTATATATGTATGTAAAGAATTTAAACATTACATCATCATCTGATAAAATATAAATTTTATAGATACATTAATGTTTAAACGAAGAATGCAATCTAACAAAATATTCTATATCCAAACAAAAAAGTTGTTATTTTGGTGCATCTATACATTTTTAATCCAAGAAATGCCTAAAAGTAGAAACAAAAGAAGAAAAGAAACTGTACTAAATATACTAATTTCGTCATGGTTTGCTTTTATGGTAAGTCATCAAATTTGAAATATGTTTTTATTTCTTGAACACGTATTACCATAGTCATGTAAAGGCTGATTTAATATCATTTATTATAAGTTTAAAATATGCTCTAAATTTGAGTCTTACCAACCATACCCCTTTTAACATATTTGCTTCTCCTGGAGTTATTCCATTTTGTTCAGACCTATCTATTTTTTTTAATAGTTCAAAACTGTTTGCTCTTTTAGTGATTACCATCTAACTTTTAATAACTTCAGAGCCTTTCTTTTTGTTGCAACTTAAAGTATCACAACAGGCAGAGCATAGCGTAAGATCTCCGTGATCAGCTCTTCTACCTGTAGACACTGTAGTATGAGTACTTCTTTATTCTTTCAAATTCTATCACATATCTGCAAAGATATATACTTTCTGATATTGATTTGGAGGGTAAAACATAGTTGCAAAATGCAATAGTTCATGAATATCAACATATATAACGATATATTAAGTATATGCATCCAAACACGAAAAAAACAAGTTCATTTTATTGAATAGTTCACAAAAAATTGACTACACAAGTTTAATTGTCTTTCAATTGGTTGCTGAGGGCCGTCGAAAATTGAATGTTGAACTTAGAATCTTAATTTCAAATTAAGATACAATATATTTAATTTTTTTATCTCAAACCTAAATATTTTACTATAAAATTCGAGATTTAGTATTCAATATTAGAAATCTAAAGCTTACATAATTCAAACTATATTACAATAAACTACCCGAGCCTGAAAATCTTTGAAACGAACAGTAAAATTATATAACGTGTAATTTTGGTCTCTACTTGAAAAAAAACCAGTTAAATACAGGTATAAATACAAGAATCTGATGTTTAGTAGTTGTCGTTTGTTGATGTGGTTCATAAGTGTTTCTCGTTTCTCGTTTTTTTAGAAAGATTAGATCGTTGGATTTCCCGTTTGAATGGTTTTACACTAGTAATTTATGGGGCCCTTTATAGCTTGCTGTATTATGTGAGCCAAGGCTCCGTGTTGAAGACCGTACTTTGACCTATAATGGTTTACTTTTATAAATTGTGACTTGGATGGAGAGTTGTCTCATTGGCACTCATACCACATCTTCTTATATCTATATAAATCTTAGTGCGTGACGTGTGTTTCCGAAATCAGACA